TTGTGAAAGAAATTGCAAATATCAATCTTGCACAAACCCAGAGACATCACAGGGTGACTTTGAAACTCCACTCAGTCACCAATCTCAGTCGATCTCCTGCAAGATGCCCTCTTTAGCCATGATCTGACCAGAGAGGTTGGAAATGGGATTGGTAACCGAGCAAAGTGGGTCGACATAAGATACATCCAAATACACCAGTGCTTGATATTTTTTAATCCCTTCAAATTAGACCTCGTAATAAAATAGTAAACATTTCTGGGCTGCCCACATCTGTAACATATTTTTTAACAATGCTGTGATGACTATGATGCAGAATATATGGTTACCTCCTCCACCCCTAACCTGACTGGCTGTGCAGAATTCTGCACTTACAGTCTTCTTCTGTAGCCTACAGCTCTTGCACTTGAACTCAGCTGAATAGAACCCAGTGGTTTTGATTCCCAGCAGGGAGCAATGTTGGGCAAGTTTCCTTGCTACACACGTATCTGTTTACCTTGCAGTATGTAGGAACCTGGTTGTTAATCAATTGGTGGATTCTGGGGATAATAACCCCCCCAAAAAAACCTTGATACTGGGATGCTGAGTCCCGGGATGATCTTTCTTTTAAACTCAATAGTAGTCCTCTAACTCTGGGGGAGCATCACAGAATGCTAGTAACCGGCTTGTTGAAGTTAATGGGACAAATTCTGTGAGTCTAAGGCTATCACATGAAGGTTCAATGAGAATCTGACCCTAGTAGGTGTGAACCCAAGTCTCAATTTATTCCCACTTCTGTGGTTGTTAAACTTTACATTGTTATCTTATTTGGACAGACTTGCTAATTACTCCTAGGTTTCAGTCAATGGCAATACTATGGGGCTTAATGACACTCTTTACTGCTCCAGAGTACTGTTATCTTTTATCTTTTTGCACAATCTCATTCACAATAAAACTTGTGTTAAGATTTTTAAAATTTTATCTAACCTTTAATTCTGCGCACTAGTATAGGTTTGTCCATTTGCCTCACATTTCATTACTCAAACATTTCCTTATACTATCCAAAGGCATATTCTGGGTGCTGTTCCTCAGTCCACTGGGTCAATCTGATGCAGTTTGCCCTGTCGATTCCCTCTTTCAGAGGGCAGCAATCTCACGCTTCAAACCTAGTGTGCCTCCTACTCTGCCACATGACCTCTTTTATACAACAGGATTACAATGCCAACACAAGTATTGGAGGCAGGTGATCCTCTGTCCTTGACCATGTCCAGGCTGGACCCAGCACAATTTTTTTTGGTCAGCCGGATGTCTAAGTGGGGCACTTGGCAATTCAACCATAGTTTTGGGGTTTCTTCAGTTCTTCTGATTTCCAGTTCTCATTCCTCTCCCAGCCTGGAAAAAGTATTTCTTTATAGAGGGAAATTATCCTAATTATCCTAAAGGCCTTCATGGTAACGTATTCCACATGTCTTATTAGCCTTTATGTAAAATGTCCTTCTCTTATAACTCATAGCTGCAACTGAACACTAAATTGTAGTATCTCCTACCAGAAAATTAGAACAAATAAATGCAACCTTCCAAGATCACAGACTTTTCCTGCAAACAAGATAATCTCTTCCTGAGTTCTCTTCATGTTTTTGTGCATGGTCTTCTTGATACTGACAAGAGGACAAACGCCAAAACAAAAACACAAAACAATGAAACTTGAGCCATTTTATTAACTGGTAACAAAATATAACAGTTACTTCTGGTCGAGAGCGATGCACATTACTGTAGAGTAATCCCATTATAATACGGATATCTGGGTCCAATCCCTCAGACCCCATGTTATAAGTGAATCTTGTTAAACTGGCTGACTTCTGACTCCACAGGTTGCCGCTGATGCCACTTCGTGCACATTGCATGTGTGTAAGTTATGCGAAGGAAGCGCCACTCGTGTCACTTCTTGGCATTGGTACAGTATACAGGAAATAATATCAGCAACGTTTCCTGGGCATAGCGTTCATCCACACAGGAAATGATGTTCATGGCAACCTGACAATCTGGAAATCAAACATTTTCTACATCTCCACAGAGGGGCTCATACCCTGAACCGTATACTCTGTAATGCCTCAGTTTAGAAATAACTAGACCTGATAAGTTACCTGATAAATGGACACTAATGTATACATTTTCTTTCCCTTTTCATTTCACAAGATCACAAAGTGGATTAGGATGAAGATGGTTCTTTGGCCTATTTAATCTTATGCTTCCAGAATTCCCACGACCTTTTCCCATCAAACTGTTTTTAAAATGAGTCCAGTCTCCTAGCTTTAACTACCCTTTTCCTGGCAACTCGGGCAGTCATTAATTACCTGCTGAGTACTTCCTGGAGTCTGACCTGAAACTACCCCTTGCAACCCTCTACCTGCCTCCTCTTGTTCTACTGTCTTAATCCATCTGAAAGTAATCCATCCAGTCAACCTCCTTCTTTTGCTTTGCAACATGTGTAAACAAGTACTGCGAGTACAAGTACTCGCATTATTATGGAATTCAGCAAATGGAAAAGGAATCATATATACATTCAGTTCATACCCAGTCATTCTTCCATTTAAGGGCATTATTGCTTTGAATGTATCTCAGGGAATGATTCATTTGCAGAAGACTGACATGTTGCAACTTAATTAAATTTTGCACCCTGACTTAGTGCAATTAAACTATGTACAGAAATGGAAGTAAACTCCATCTACTCCTCATTTAACACTCCATACACTTTCTTGTTTCATGTTGAAATGTGAGTCTTGGCACACAAATCAGTATTGGTTGTACCGATGGTGCCAGCCATTGAAACACTGACAATGTAAGTCCACTTCTTGCCCACTGTACAAAGGAGCCTTCAAAATGCATATCCCTGAATTCAACCCCATGAAGGCTGGTTTCAGTCACTAATCATAGTGTTCCCATGCTGTTCTTTTCATGCCTCAATGCTTCAGGCAACAATCATAGTGAAGTGGCAATTCTCCTCACTGAAAACCTTTCAGCAAAACCTCTTCAGTGGTGAATGCCTAAAAGGCGATGCCCTCCACCTCAGACTGGGCGGAGGCAAGCTCTCCGACTCCCGCACACGCTCGAAAAAAAAGATATTGCAAACAGGATAAAACTTGTCAGGGAGCATTAAATCCTTGCATTTTGATATAGCGCTTTTCACGTCGGGAGGACGTCCCAAAACGCTTCACAGAACACACTGTAAAGTGAATTGACTGTATATTTGTGGGCGAACGCGGCAGCCAATTGCGCACAGCAATGTCCCACAAACAGTCGTGGATTGAAAATGACCAATTTTATTATTGGTTTTGGTTTTGGAGGGATTATTATTAGGCATGTGGAGTGGAGTAAGGAAACTTGCCCAAGGTTTCGCCCCTGCCTGGAATTGAACTCAGGTCTCTCACTTGCAAAGCGAGTGCTCTAACCACTGGACTCCACATAAGCCACACTTCAAGGAGTTTAGCAACATGGTGTTCTGTAAGCTGAGTCTAATCACAACCTCCCTGGAACGGCCACAATTACAGCTTAAAAGAATAACTGTTTGTGTGCAGTTAGGAACATAGTAACAAAGAAACAGGACTCAGTCATTTAGCCCCCCCGAGCCTGTTCCACCATCTTGTAAGATCATGGCTGATCAACTCTATTTACTGGCCTTTGCTCCGTATCTCTTTATACCATTATCTAACAAACATCTATCCATCTCAGTCTTAAAAATGTGAATGGATCCAGCATCCACAGGCTTTTGGGGGAGAGAGTTCCAGACTTCCACTACCCTCTGTGTGAAAAAGTGCTTCTTGATTTCACTCCTAAATGGCCGAGCTCTAATTCTAAGATTACTGCCCTTATTCTGGATTCACCCAACAGAGGAATATAATATCCCCGAGATTGTGGTGTGGTAGCATGACATGAAGAAGTAAGAACAAGGACACAGTGCCACAGAGTGCAGGTACATGGGGGGGTCAATCCCCACCCACAGTACCTGAGCTCAGTGGCAGTGCTGGGCACCAAGCAGAGGTTAGGTCTCTTCAGGGGAGGTGGGGGTCAGGAGACTGACCAGAGGTCGGAAGGGTTATCACAGAGTAACAGAATACAAGAGGGCAGGAGGGAGGGTGGGAAGAGCAAAGGTGAGAGGGTGGTGAGGATGCATGACTGTAAATACCGGGCAACATATGATAACAAGAATCATTCTACATCTTCCCAAAAATCTGAAATTGGCACTGGAATCGATACAGCAACTAGTATTGGACCACATGAAACACCCTGGGCTTTCAACCTCAGCAACACCTCAGCAAAGAATGTAACTTTATTAGGGAATAAGAGACTGTTTAGTGCTTTTGAAAAACAGTAAAGAATCCAAGTACTAAACAGAGATATTTTTCACGACCGGTGACTTTGACTACCATTACAGCAGGTGACAGCTTTAAAGTCCAGTGACTTGCCCAGCAAGTAAGTAGTATCGGATTCATTCTCAAAAGTGAATACTGTGCAAACTTCTCAGCTCAAAAATAAAACTGGAGCAAGAGTTAGCTCTCGGAGTAACTGGAAATGATTTTTTTTTAAAAAAAGGTCAGAACTCATGGAAGAAAAAAGACTAAGGTCCAGCTAGCCGATTTGTACCATCCTGGTAGTCCCATGCTACAATAATAATGGAGATGTTGATAGCAATTAATTCTGTATGGATTAGTCTACCAGCAGAGTGGAAAACTCTGGGAAGCTTAGATCCTAATAGTAATCCCTCCAAAAAGCACAATAATAAATTGGTCATTTTCAATCTACGACTGTTTTTGGGACACCGCTGTGTGCAATTGGCTGCCGCGTTCGCCCACAAATATGCGGTCAATTCACTTTACAGTCTATTCTGTGAGATGCTTTGGGACGTCTCGAAGACGTGAAAAGCGCTACATCAAATGCAAGGATTAATATTATTATTATCCAAAGTGGCTTTTAGTGTGCCTCCAAACCAAGTACCTCAATCCAAAAGGTGTGTTGGGTTTGCTCACCTTGGGTTTGCTGTGTTGAGGGGGGATGTGGCAGCAGCCCTCCCCCTCCTGCTCCTCTTGTTGTTGTTGTTGTTGTTGTTGTGGGGTACGATCCCGTTTCAAACTCCTGACATAAGTCACTTGCTTCCTCCCGAAGTCTGCCTTTTTCCAGGACCCGGGCTCCCGAGCTTCCCCCCCGGCGGCTCTGGTGCCTGTGCGGGGCTCCGGCTCTGCCTTCCCGCTGCCCCTCACCAGCTGCCAGCGCCAGACTGCCCACATCTGCACCCACAGCACCAGCAGCACCAGCAGCACACACAGCGGCACCCAACCACAGCCACAGCCACAGCACGGCTTCAGCCGCTTCCACTGCATGGTGTGTGTGTGTGTGTGTGAGGCTGTGAGGCTGTCTCTGTGTGTGTGTGTGTCTGTCTGTCTGTGTGTGTGTGTCTGTCTGTGAGTCTGTGTGTCTGTCTGTGTGTGTGTGTCTGTGTCTGTCTGTGTGTGAGTATGTCTGTGTCTGTCTGTGTGTGTGTCTGTCTGTCTGTGAGTCTGTGTGTCTTTCTGTGTGTGTGTGTGTGAGTATGTCTGTGTGTGTGTGTGAGTATGTCTGTGTCTGTCTGTCTGTCTGTGTGTCTGTCTGTGTGTGTGAGTCTGTCTGTCTGTCTGTGTGTGTGTGTGTGAGTCTGTGTGTGAGTGTGTGTGTAAGACAGTTTGCAGCTGGTCAGTGATGAGGATTATTGCAGTATATAAACAGAGCCGATGTGCAGATCAGGGCAGCTGACACGTGTTGACCAGACAGTGTCTCTCCGGGGTCAGCCGAGCCGGTATAACAGACCTGTGTGTGAGTGTGGGGGGGAGTGAGTGACAGACACGCACACACACACACACACACACTCCTGATGACTGGCCCCTGTCCGCTTGATCCTCCTCCACAAGTCCCGTCCATTCCTCTCCCTCCTCCCACCCCCGGATCCTTCTCTCTGATCCGCCCCCAAGCCCGAACCTGCCCCCAGGCTGAGCTGTCATGTGGGTGTTGCAGAAGCCGGGCAGCCCTTCCGCACTGACAGCCTCGGTGCTGACACCCCTTTAACCTCTTTGAGCACTGGAAAAGTTGCATTTTCCTGGCAAGTCATTTTTTCTCTCAGAGTGTACAGTAATAGCACAGCATGAATATAACGATGCAATAATCCCGAGTCCCCAAGCCTTGCCTCTTGGCCAAACTGTTGATGCTGTCTTAAGGTTATTAATACTTTCCGCAATTAGATAAGCAAGATGTGTCACTTATTTCATTCCAATTAATATCTCTGGAATTTAGTCGTGTAGGTGGGATGCATTCTCAGTTTGGTTTGGATGGGTTTCCGCATGTTTCAGACCCCAGCTGATCCCCCCAAAAATACATACAATTATAGTGATATAGAGCCTTTCAAATTGGGACCGTGTCTCAAAGTGCTTTAAAAAAAAACTTTTAATAATGTTAAGCACTTAATAATACTTGCATTTTTTAGTGCCTTTCATGTTGGGAGGATGTCTCACAGTATTCATTGTAAAGTGTATTTTTGACTATTTTTGTAGGCAAATGCCAATTTGCAAATATATTATAAAATTAAATGTGTGAACAGACTCTGAATGAAAGCAGTGGATGATGCCGCCATTAACATGAATTGCTTGGGCATGGCATTGAAGGATACAGGGAGGCACCCTCATGAACAAAAATTCCATAGATCACAATGTTTTTTGTGTAAGTGGAAGAAGGTGTCAGTGGAAGGATAGGGTTTAAAAGTGGGAGTGAAAAGTATTTGTTTTATTGATTCCATTGGCTCACAATCACCCAGAGTTTAGGATCCTCATTCTCACCTTTAAATTCCTCCACCATCTCACCCCACTCTACCTCTGTGACCTCCTCAAACCCTACCAACCCAGCTGTTTCCATCGCTCAACAAGTACTGGCCTGCTTCACATCTCCTATTACTCGCCAAAACCAAAGAGTGGGCAGTTTGTCATCGATTCTGCCCCTGCTGTCTGAAATTCGTCCACCATTTTGCCCCATTCTATCTCTGTGACCTCCTCAAACCCTACCATCCCTCCCACACACACACACACACACACACGTGGAGTCCCTCCGACTCCCTCCCTCCCTGCTTTCAAGGCCCATCTCAAAACATATATCTTTGATCACGCTTTTGGTCATCCTTCTCCTCCCCACCAATTCAGCTTCCACCCCCATCTCAGGTGCACAGGCAGCCTTGGGGGATAACAACAACAACAACAAGATTCCATTTATAGAGCGCCTTTCACGTCGGGAGGACGTCCCAAGCAAGGGGGAAATGGGAAATGGAGGACGTCACGTCGGGAGATCAGGACCCGAGCAGGGGGGAAATGGTCAGGGTGAGGGGAGGGAAGGGAGGGTCGAAAGGGGAGCTGAAGGCACGGTCAAAGAGAAAGGTCTTGAGACCGGCCTTGAAGGAGGAAAAGGAGGAAGCGGCGAAGGCACTGGGGGATAGAGTTCCAGAGCCTCGGGGCTGAGAGGCTGAAGGTCCGGCCACCGATGGTAGGGCGGTTAGGGTGGGGGATGTGGAGCAGACCGGAGCCAGAGGAACGGAGGGTACGGGCAGGTAGGTAGGGGGATAGTAGGTCGGAGAGGTAGGAGGGAGCAAGGCCGTGAATGGCCTTGTAGGTGAGGATGAGGATCTTGAAATCGATCTTCTCATTATTATAAGTGCTTTGAGACAGGCCTCCCCTTCATGAAATGCACTATGTAAATTGCATTGTAAACTACATCGCAAACTGAGCCAGTTCCTCATAGTTGAAAAAGTTAGGATCTGAGCAGGTAATATGGTCTAATATGTAACGATTTCTAACATAGGTTCTTAATAAACACATAAACAGTGGCTTGCTGGAACTCCACTGTGGTATGATCTACTTTTGTCACAGAGTTCATGTAGGTGAGTGTGAGTGTGAATTCTCTACTTAAGTACCTTATAAAGGAATCCCATTAGAAATTGTTGTATATTTGACCTCAGTGTGGTACCGCATTAGAAAATTCATATCTGCTGCATTCCCCCATGGTTTTCAATGTCACTTATTTTTTAAATTTGAAATGAAAGAATCAATCTGGCTCCCATGGCTCAGTTAGTAACATCGCAATGTCTTCACTTAACACTGGGTTTACGGACAACAACTGTTTTGCCAAGCAACAAAGCCATTTAGTGCAGCCGTTATTAACTCCAGTTAAACAATACTTAAAATGACTCACAAGTTACATAAATCGGCATTTAAAAACAGCTGTTTTGTAATGTATAACATGCTGAGATGAAGGATCTTAATCAGTTCAAACCTATAAGCCAGTTGGCATAAAAGGGGGATGGGGTCACACATGTGGTTTAAATTTAGAAATTTCCAAAGAATCCAACAGGAATTACTTAGAGGCGCTTGAGGAAACAGTGCCCCCCTCTCCCCAGCCCCCCTCCCCACACACACACACACACAACACACATAACACACTCACGTTTACACTATTAATGTTTTCCCTGTTCGGTCAAATATCTGATTTATGGTTCATTGATCACAATATCTAGTTAATGGAATTGTGCCTTTTTGCTAAAGGAAACACCCAAAGTAAAGCTGCAATCCACTATCTGTGAAAGAGCTCAAACAGAGCATGGTTAAATAAGGATTCATAACTCGAGTTTTACACTTGTCTAATAATATTTTCCTTTCACAAGTAATTTAAAATAAGATGTAATTCTTTCTTTGCCTATAGTATAGTAAAGTGCAGCTTTGAAACCAGAAATTTCAGCTTTCAACAACCCACAGACTCTTGTTCAGAACAGAATCTGCACACTGATGTACTATAACCCAATGGCACGTGGATTATGGTGTGGCAGTCATTTGGAGTCTTCACCCACTCATCTGTGGCCTTTGGAAGACCTTCTGCTCCATGTTTTTAGAGGCTACCTACCAAATTGGACAGGACAGTAGCTTTGGGAATCTTCCAGATCACTGCACAATGGTCAAGAGTGACATATTGCATGTCTGGCCTCTATTCATGTCCTGCCTGGCTATAAATATTGCCAGAGCTGAGATTGTGTGTCAGTCTGCTTCAGTTAGTAGCGCTCTTGCCTCTGAGTCAGAAGGTTGTGGGCTCACGTTAGGACTTTGAAACCGCAAACTTGGCTGACACTCCAGCAGGGAGCACTGCACTGTCAGATGTGCCGTCCTTCAGATGAGATATTAAACCGAGGTCCCTCATGCCTGTTCAGGTGGCCATTAAAGATCCCAAGGCATTATTTGTAAAGAGGAAGGTGTTTCTCTCAGCGCCTGGCCAACAATCTAAAAATAAAATTGATCATTCACTTCATGACTGTACGTAAGTCATTCTGTGGCGCTGGAGCATTCTGGAGAGCAGCCCTATCTATGGTTCCTGACAAAAAGTTAGTAACAGTGCACTAACAAATACATGGCTTCTTTAAGAAAGCAGAGAGTACCACACTTTTCAAATGTAAATTTAGTTCTTCGAAAGTGTGATGATATGTGCCAGCACATCAGTCAAACTGTTTCTTTTAATAACACGTTCTACTTATACAAAGATTAAATGAAGTGAACAGAGAGCCCAGTTTTATAGATTTGCCATTTATTATACTGCGCATTCATGAAATCACAACAACAAGTCAATGTGACTTTCTGCCAGGTAATCTGGTAAACAAATTCGCATTCATTAGCATTTGGTTGACCTTTGCAGATAACCTAAGTATGTTTCAAAATACCAATAGATGTGAGGTCAGAACAGGACTGGCAGATAGCATAGTCAGCATTGTCATAGTCTGGGATAGTCAGTCTGTGAGGCTAATGTCTTTCTTAACATTTTTGTCAACAAATCTCTAAATCAACTGGTTTCAGCTTTGCTTGTTTTGGCTCCTGAAAATGTTGTTTTAAGCTTCAGCACTGCTTGTTAACACTAATCTTTAGCAAAAAGATTGTTCAACATGAAAGACCTTCATGAATTTCTTAATGCTCTCTTCATTATTGCAGTTAAAGCAAGAACATAAAAACACAGTCCAATAAGCCTCTTCCTGCCACGGACCATATACAGTACAACCCATTAACGCAATCCGATCCATTTAACCCAGAAATCAACCAGCCCAATAGTAGGTTCCTTGGGATCACCAGTTCTTAAAAGATTTCAGGTCATGTACCTGACACTAAAATAAACACTAACATATCATGACTTAGATAGCAGGTAATAACACGCGTAAACCAAGTTATTTTGGTAGCCCTGTTGCCTCTGAGTCAGAAAGTTGTAGGTTCAAGTCCCATAACAGGAATTTGAGCTCAATGTCTAGACCTGACATTGCAGTACAATACTGG